TTCCTTTCTTTTTTCTTTTCTTTTCTTTTTCCTTTTTTTCTCTTTCTCACAGTTACCAGAACAAAGGTTCACAATGTCTATTTCGTTTTCCACAACGAAGTTACACGTCTCTGGCCCTCTTTTCCTCTCCAGTACTTTTCGCTGAGCTCTCGCCTCGGCTCTGAGACTCTCTGTAGTCCGGCCTGGGCATCCATCCCAAGCATCCGCAGACACCGCTGTTGACTTGTGAGATCCTACACCACAAACTAAACACCACACGCTAAACAAAGACATCCAGATCTCCGTCCCTGGTGATACAGGCGCTTCTGCTTGCTTATCTCCTTCATAATATTCCTCTTCCCTGCCCTCAAAATTGAAATTACCCATCTATTCGGACAACGGCCACGACTAGGCCTTCTTCCCAAGTAGCAGCCCACCTCTCCCCGCTCCCATCACTCCTCGCGCCCGTTTCCGGCGCGCCTTCCCTTCCCCAAGATGGCTGCGACGGAGCGCAAGGACGGCGGCGCGGGTCCCAGCCACGCAGGGCCGCTGGTGTGCTGGGGGCTGGGGGACGAGAAGCCCAAGGCCGGGGGCGCCTGAGGAGCGGGAAGGGCCGCAGAGCGGCACCTGTGAGGCCCACCGCCGGGCAGCCTGCACCTGCTGTGGCCAGAGCCACGGCCCGGCACAGGAAGTGGGCGCCTCATCCCCCAGCATCAGGGGCCGGAAGTGAATGTTGCTGAGGCCCGGATGTGGGTGAGGGTTCCCGTGTCTCCGCGGAGCCCTCGGTCGGGCAGAAGAGGCTTACAAGCGATGCTGTTGTCAAAAATAAATTGGCCACTTGTCCCTTTGATGGTCACCACCAAGTTCCTTGGGCTGAAACCAGTGATGACAAAGGTTGTGTTGAGGGAGATGTCAACCACACACGCTGAGAACCTTGGACAAGAGACTGGTTGAGCACACACGGCAGGGCCTTCCTTGCCAAGAAGACTGGGTTGGGATTTGTAGGAAAAGACCAATACCCATTTGTCTGGCATGCCCAATTACTGTGGCCCAACAGCCCCACAAACAGCATAGGTATGGAACGTAAAAGTAACCTGGCTCCAGGCATGCACCTTCCCAACTGTATTTTCTGCCGTAGAAAAACCATGGAAATGCACAATCACTGAGTACCTACCTCTCTTATTCACCCGCTAGACCCTGGAAGTTGCTTGCTTTTTCCTGCTCTCAGTGGGTTCCTTACTTTTCTCCTAATCCAATTCTTTAGAAAGATAAATTGTCTTTCAAACTCATAAGTACCCTTGTTTCCTCCCCCCTTTGAGTCTTAACTCATTTGATGCAAGAAAGAACCCTCATATTTAGAACTGTTTCAAATAAACCATCAATGCAGATAGCAAACAAACAAAACAAAACCCACAAGAAACCAAAATCCTCAAATTGTGGTCACGGCCAATTAGACTTGGGCCCATCCCATATTTCTGGCCACACCTGCAGTGGCGTAATTCCAGAATTGCATTGCAGGACATCCTTGAGGGGGCAAGGGGAAGCAGCCAGGCTGAGAGAGGGCACATAGTGGAACTTGTCCTAAACTGCCCTGATGGAATGAGTATGCTGTTTGTCCTTGGTGTGTATGTTTATTTGGAGTCTTAGTGGGGAGGTTAAAAGATATACAGGGGGTCACACACACCCCAATCACCTCCTTGGTGCTATTGCTACAGACTGGCATGGTTTACTTTCTGAATGTGCCCTACCTTCTCCATGCCCTGGCCTCTGCACAGTGCTCCTCTCCCCCCCCCCCCCCCGCCACCTGTTCTCCAATTTTCTCATGGTTCATTCTTGCTCATCCTCCAATGTCAGCACAACAGACCTTTCCTTCGGACAACCACTTCTCATCCCCAAACCTTTAATTCTATCCTGTTATCAAATATGTAACACTTGTTTCCATGGTGGCTTAAATGTTTCTCTGGGATTATTTATTACAATTTGACTTACCCAGAAGACTGAATGCTATGAGAGTAGGAACGATGTCTGTCTCTGTCATTTTCTCCCAGGAGCCTAGCACAGTGCCTGCAACATGGGTGCCCAGCAGCCATTGGCTTTATGGGTGTTCATGAATAAGAACCTATCCTTTTGAACCTCACGAGGCAGCAAGCTGGTTTGTTTTTTAGTGTCTCCTATCCTGCCTGCCCTCCTTTCCCTCTTTCTCTAGACAGTTCCAGCTTCTGTCTAAGCCTCAACTTTCTAATTTCATATGCTTCTGTCAAAAGGTACCCGTTTTGAGTCCCTTTCTTGAGTCTGATGGATAAGAGGAACTTATTAGGGAAATGGGTCTGTCCTGCAAGTGAAAGGAAGAGAGCCCCTCAGTGTGTCTTCCCTCCCTCCCAGACAGCACTTGTATTTTAGCAGCAGCTTCAGTGTCTGTCCTCAATGGTGCAAATTTTCAGGATTGAGAAAGCTGGTGGAGGCCATATTTGACTTGGAGGTTTGTAAAGAGAGTTGTCCTCAGACTACTCCATGCTGGCAGTGCTCAGGTTTTCTCCCTTCTCCTCTCTGCCTGCCGGGCTTGTCTCTGTTCCCAGATCACCCTGTCCCTAGAGCAGCCCTCTCTGCCTGGAGCACCAACTGTCACACTTGGACCTACCTTCTTCCTGAGAGGCCTCCCTCCCCTCTACCACCCAGGGACCTTTGGTCTGTGTCGTTTTCTGCCCCAGTGAGTCAGGGATGCCATAAACACCTGGCACAGGCAGTACACAGTGATAGATAGTTGCTCTCACTTAGACCTTATCTCTCTGTACACGTGGGAATGGGTTACACTTGCTATGAGGAACACTAGTCTCCCCTGTGACCTCTCCACACCCCTCTCACCCAGGCTGGAGTCTTGCTCCATCTGGCTCCTCTTCTATTTTCAGTGTCTTCCTTTCTGGAGCTCCTTCCCTATTGCCTACAAGCCTGCTTCAAGTCTCTGCATCTTCTATCCCAGAGGAGACCAAAGAACTTTCTCAAGGCCCCCTTGTTTCATCTTTTTCATTTTCCTGTGTTCAACGAGCTCCTTGCCAAAATAGGCTGCCCTCCCTGTCTCTATGTCCTCACTTTCGGCTTGATTCATAAAATTGTCACATGGCTTTTTGATTACAAGAGTAATGCATATTTACTACAGAGCATTTGGAAAATAAAAATATACAAACAAGAAATCCAAAATTTATCCATGATCCCAAAATCCAGAGATAACTTATTAATACCATATTTTGGTATATTTGCTTCTAGAATTTGCTCTCTTTCTGTGATTAGGTGGAAGTGTGATACTGTTTATATATAGTTGCGCATCCTGCTTTATTTTCTTACCTGTACAAGTTCAAAGAAGTGAATCAACTCCCTTGGGGGCAATTTCAAGTCCCACCTTCTCGACAAGCCTTTCTAATACAATCCTTCTTCTGGATAGTGACACAACCCCTCCACTCTCTCCCTCTACATTTTATTCCCTTAACACTTGCATTTAACACCTAATTAGGCTCCATTAGGTTGCTGACAGTGACCTCTAACTGCTGCCTGGGTAGGGACTATGCCCCAGGCTACTGAACCCACGGGTCTTATTAGCACTCAGCTCTGTAGAAACCTTGAGGTGTGAACTGGCAAACAGTAGAGACAAGAGAAACATGAGACACAGGCCCCACAGGAAGGGGCGTACTGTCTGCTGAGAGGAGGAGGCTTGCATGCACCAACCCTCATCAATGGAGTTTTGTGTGTACCTGGTGAAGAGCTGCCTGAAGTGGCTCCAGAAAACCCGTGAGCATTAAGGGCTGGGATGGTCCCAATCGTTTCTGGAGGATATAGCACATCAACATGCCTCTGATCATTTTCCCAGTGCCTTGCATGAAACTCGGACTGTAGGAAAAATTCATTGAGTTGATTGGAATTTACAGATGCCTAAACATCCATGTTGAACAGTTGGACAAGTTCTAACCGCCCATCCCTCCACCGCTGCCAGTGGAGACAGGACAAACCAACCTGCCTGTGTGAACTGCCCCTCCTCATCCAGGGTACCAATACTTTCTCAAGGCGAGAGCAAGTGCCTGGTCCTGGGGCAGGCTGGGACACCTCTGGCCTCCAGCACTTCCTCCCTGAGAATGTGGTTTCTCCGAGCAAATGGATTTTCCTAAGTGGAGGCATTACTGCCAGTTTCCCAAGGGTTCCCATAATGCGCTGTGTATGCCTCAGGCAGCCAGTTCCATCAAGCATTTCATTATTCTCCTTGGATGTATTACTTTCTGGTTAGCTCTCAAGAGACAGTTTATTATCTTCTTAACAAACCTTAATTATTTACAAGCAATCATCAAATCTTCAGGCTGGGTCTCCACACCCCACCCTTTCAGGGAGGTTAAAGGACCTCGCTCATTTCCTTCTGGGGCATCTTGCGGACTCAGCTTCCCTTCTCTGGGGTCTCTTTTGATCCCTTATTTGATTTTTTTTTTTTTGGCATTTTCTAGCAATCTGTAAGATAGGTTCTCCAATAAGTTTCTCTGGTTGTGAATCCTACCCATCTTTTAAGCTTAAATTCTCTGTAACTCATGTATTTGCTGCCAAAGAGCACTTCCTGTGTTAGGCACTTTGTCGAACCTTGGGGACATCGAGATGAAGAAAATGGTAGCAGAGGAGAAAGATGTGACAATATAGAACACTGGTATGGTTCTTGCCACATCGGGTAGGGGATGTGCCTGCCCACGATGGTCAGTCATTCAACCCTCACCATAATATTGTTATTCTCATTTGATAGGTGAGAAAACAGGCACAGCAAAATTAATTAAGTTGGCCAAGGTCACACAGTTAAAAAAAAGTAAGAATGAGGATGCCAGCTGGGGCAGTTTGTTTCTTGCACTTGTGTTCTTAGCCACTCTGGTGTATTGTGCAATAAACTTTCATGAGACAGAAGTCTTAGGAGGCAGGCACTTGTGAGCAGTAGGTGGGACAAAGGGCAATGGCGTTGATTCTGCTTGGGAGAGTCTGGACGTTTCCTCTAGGAAGTGAATATGCACTCCAAACGCCTTCCTCAGCAAACTGCTATGGTGCTGGGAGATGTTGACTTCTTCCTGGAGGTGAAAAGCACTCACTCTCCCAGGGTGTCTATCCTTAGGGAGGTTAACACAACCCTGAACTATTCCTTCTTAACTCCTTGTGGGGAACTAGCTGAGCATCAGATGGATGCTCTTCCTGGACAGGAGAAGGGCTCAGCCTTGAAAAGGGAGCAGGGAAATGAGGGTGAGAAAGACTCCTGGAGCACGAGACACACAGCTTGCAGGTGGCAGCAGGATGAGTGAGCTGCAGCTGCTTGAGGCAGGGTGGGTTCTGAACCACTAGAAAGGAGATGCCGGATGTAGACCCACACAGGGAAGTAGAACGGGAGGTAGTTGGAAGGTTCTAGACATGAACTTCTCTACTTCCTACTTTTCTAATCACAGATGAGATTCCCATCTGATACTTTTGTCACACCCACTGAGTAGGGAAGCAAAGATCCCATAGAAGAAGAAAACAAGGGCCACAGTATCAAAAATATTTTTTAAATAATCAAACATATATTTTTTTTAAAGTCACAAACATCTTTTGATCCTACAGACTCTTTTAACTCCCACATGCCTTTCTCTCTCTCTCCTTTTTGGCAAAAGCTGTCCTCTTCTCATCCACTTGCCCTTGAGCTCATCTTCCCAGGCTCCATCCTCTCTACTCCATGGAATCTGCTCCTGCTGAGGTCCCCCCACCCCCTCCATGGTGCCACATCCAGGGGTCATCTCTCTGTTCCCAGGTCCCTGGCCCAGCAGATCAGTAATGTTGAATTAGTTGACCCCCTCTGCTTTTATGAAACACTTGTCCTGCTTGGTCTCTGGGAAACACTTTTTCTTGTCTCTCTTCCTAGCCCCCTGGCCAGTTCTCCTTCTCCTTTGCTGGTTTCTCCTCATTTCCTCCACCACTAAGCACCCAGGCCTCCTCCATCCCAGACACCTTCCCTGTCTTCCTCCCCATCCTCTAGCCTTCAGTGACCTCTCCAAGAACTGTCTCCTCACCACCTCTGTTGGGTGTGTAATAAGCATCTCAAACTTCACATGTCCACAAACAAACTCCTGATCTTCCCCCTGAAACCTGCCCACCTCAGCCTTCATCATCTCCCTAAATTAGAATTCCATCCTTCCAGTTATTTAGGCCAAATCCTGATCTATCTTTGACTCCTCTTTTCCTCTAACACATAAAATCTAATCTGCAGTCAAATCCCATTGGCTCTTTCTACATACATTCCAATCTGGATCACTTCTCTCTACCTACACCACCAGGACCTGTGCCCAAGCCACCATTAGCACTCACCTGTACTATTGTAGTAGCCTCTTAAATGGTTGTCCTGCTTCCGCTCTGTTCCCCAATCTCCTCCTTCCTCTCACTTCACTTCAGCCAAGATGACCCTTTAAAATGTATGTCAAGTTTATTACCTTGCTTAAATCCCTCTAAGGGTTTCCCACCTCCTCCAAAGAAAAATATGAAGTCTTAGATATGGGCTATAAGACCCAATGTGACCTGAGACCTCTCTACTTCTCTGTCTCATCTCTCTTCCCTCCTCCCCTCCTACCACATGGCTTCCTTGCTGTTCCTCACATGGGCCACACTTACTTCTGCCTAGAAAGTTCTCACAACACGTATCCACATGGCTTTCTGTTTCAATCATCTATTGCTACATACCAAATCACCCCAAATCTTAACGTCCTAAAACAATGCTAAAACTTAGCGTCCTAAAACAATGAGCTAGATTTGGCTCAGGAATCTTCACTCTGCGCAGGCTCTGCAGGAATAGCTCAGCCCTGCTTTCCTAGACAGCTAGCTGAACATGCTCGTACACATGCTAGGAGTTGATGTTGGCTGTCCCAAGGAACCTCAGCTGGGGCTATGTCCCAAATACCTGCATGTGGTCTTGCCATGTGACTGCTTAACTTTATCACAGAATGTTATTGGGTTCTCAGAGTGAGCATCTCCAGAGGACCAAGCAAAGCTTATGTCCTCTTACAAGTTAGCATGAGAAGCCATATGGTACCACTCACATTGTAGTCCCAGGCCCACCCAGATTCAAGAGGAGGGGACACAGAGGAAGGAGAGTCACCATCACATGGTAAGATAAGTATACATGATGAGAGATACTGGTGTGGCCACACGGTTTTTCTCACCTTTTCCTGATAAACTTATGTAGAGTAAACTAGCCTGGGAATCCCTCTATTTCTTTATCTTGATTTAATCTTATGTATAAAATTCCTTACCACATTTAAGTGCTCCATAAAAATTTGTTAAATGAATGACTATATCATCATCACAACAAAAAAGATGGCAAAGAATATTTATCACGAGCTCTCTGTGTGACAGGCACTAAAAAAAGTATTTATGCATATTATCTCTTTAAGTTCCCCTAGCAACTCTGGGAAGTATTTGTGTTCCTATGTAATGGATGAGAAAAGTTCACACAGCTGGTAAGAGGTTGGGGCTGAGGCTCAAAGCTGGGCTTTTAGCTACCACACAATGCATTTGACTTATTTGTGATGCTGCAGGATGGATATACAGTGAACCAAGGCACACGGCTGTGTTCGCCTCAGTCTCGGAGAGCAGTTGGTGCGCCGTGGCCAAGATCACAATCATAGTGTGTCTAGCTGTGGTTGCAGGAAGAGAATATCACTGAGCATTCCCTCAGAAGTCCTATGGGCAATGAGTGGCTATGCCATTTACTTCTCTTACTTCCCACTTTCTTTCCAGTCTGGGTGACTGTCAATGCCATCTCTGTGGAAACCCCACAGGGTGTTCTTAAGGCTGCCCGGGGGAAGAGTGTTACCCTTCCATGTACCTACCAGACTTCTGCCTCTGACCGAAATGGATTTATCCAATGGGACAAGCTTCTAAGGACCCACACGGTAAGAATCCTTAAAAAGTTGAGGGTATCATGGGAACGAATATTATCTGACCATGACCTCTTATAGGATGAGCACTCCAATAAATAAATGTTAGAATAAACATAAGCACCCAAGCTGGATTGGGTGGGGAGAGAGCAATGAATGTTGGGCCCAGCGAGGGACATATTATGCCACCTTTATTTTGAAAAAGTGAGCGTCCCTAAAATATCCTTCTGCTAGTCGGTTTCAAATTACCTAAATTGTATAATTTGAGACAGTCACTCCTTTTTTTGTTTTGTTTTTTAGAAAGATTTTATTTATTTATTCATGAAAGGCACACTCAGAGAGAGAAGCAGAGACATAGGCAGAGGGAGAAGCAGGCTCCCTGTAGGGAGCCCAATGTGGAACTCGATGGTGATCCCGGGATCACAACCTGAGCCAAATGCAGATGCTCAACCACTGAACCACCCAGGCATCCCCAGTCACTCCTTTTGACTGGCACAGAGCTCTCCCTGAGGCCAGATTTTACTTTATAGTGTTTGGGGGATTTTTCCCTGTTTGTGATCTTTTGGAGAATATAGAAGACATTTTGTTCTATTTTTTTATTTTTATTTTGAAATAGATAATACAGTCCCATGGTTCCAAAATTAAAACATCATCAACATCGTAAAGTCTCATTCCCATCCTTTCTCCTCCTGTCTACACTAATCTTCTATTCCGCACCACTTCCCCACCCTCACACACGCTCCCCATCTGTAGGCAAGGCTGACTTTCACTGGTACTGGTTGTTTGGGACCAGCATCTATTCTGATTGGTTGGTATCTCTGCTGCAATTGCTAAGTATTTTGAATATTACTCTTGGCTAGGAGAACCAGTTTAGTTTCTAGTGTATCCTTCCATTGATTTTTTTATGCAAATTCAAGAAAATGTTAATGTTTTGTGTGTATGTATGTGTGTGTTCCTATTTCCCCTGTTTTTACACAAAAGGTAGCATATTCTAGGCACTATTCTGCCCCTTGCATTTTTCACTTAACCTAGTTCCTGAAGAGCTTTCTATATCAGCAATAGAGAGCTCCTTCATTCTTTAAGAGCTGCATAGGAGTCCATTGTGTGGATACACTGTTAATATTTAACCTGCCCCAATATGATAGACACTTGCTTATTCCCAACCCTCCAATTACCAAGAATAACCATTTACCTATGCCATTTTGTGTCTGCACAGGTAGACCTCTAGATACACACCCAGAAAGGGTAAATGCTTTTATAATTTCATAGAGACTACCAAATTGCCTCCCCAGGAAAGCATCCTGTGCTCCCCCAGCAGAACCTGAGTGCTCATTTGTGTGTATGTGTGTCTAAGTAATACATGCACATCACTAAAGATTAAGCAGTAGAAAAGTACACAAAGTGAAAGTATATCTACCTCATACCCTGAACTCCCAGGCTCCTGTTTCCCTCACCAAAGGGAACCTACTCCTACGAGTTTTAGGGTGACCTTCAATAATGCTGTACATATATACAAACATACATACAGACATTTATATGTAAATACACATCTATAAATATGTATGTTTATATAGACTACGTACACACTGTGCTGCACTTGGCTTTTTTCTCTCAATACATATCATGAAGCTCTTTCCATATGTCAGTACATTTATATCTATCTCGTTTTTTACATTTGATCTTAGCCAAAAGGCCTAGAAGCAATCTACCTCATTTTTTTTAACATTTGTATTAAGCGTTCCATTTTATTAATGTACTATATATACCAATGATGGATATTTGATTCAGTTCCTGTATTTTGCTGCTACAAATAATGCTGCAATAAAATATCTCTAATGTCTATGGATGAATATAGCACACATACATAGCATAAATGTATATGTAAAGTATATGAATATAAGATAAATTATTTAAAAAAGAACTTTTGAGTCACAGGGTATGTGAATTTAAAATTTTGAAAAATAAGATCAAATTGCTTTCATCAGATGTCATGCCAATGTCTACCTTCACCAGCAAGATGAGGGCACCTACTTCTCTAACACATAGTATCCCCAAATGTTTGATATTTGCCATTTTGGTAAATGAAAAAAAGTGTCTCCTTTCTTATTACATTCACATGTCTCTAATTATAAGAAATGGAGCATCTACTCATAAGTTTGAGTGAGGTCTACTTTTATTTATTTTATAAAAGTAGAGGGTGGGAGGAAGAAGAACACATTCAAAAAAATTTTTTTGAACACATTCAAAATTAATTCTCCAGCAGACAGACAGCATCAGCAGGTGCAACTGCAAAGGTTTCTCCGTAGATCATATATTCACAAGGCATTATTTGCTTAACAGTGAGAAAGGTTCTGGTGTGTTCTCTGTAACAACATCCACTTCACAGTGTGAGCAAGCACTAGTATTGTGTTCCACTTACAATTCCAGGAGGAAAAGCACAACTTGGCAAAAAATATTTTTTGGATCCTAAAGTCAGGTACAATAACATAGACAAACTTTTTATAACACTTGATCTACTTTTCCACAAAGGAGACTTCTCCACCCAGAAATTAGAGTCTTTCTTTCTCCTTCCCTTGTTTAACTGTTAGAGCAATGCCTCATCATTTCCTTGTATATTACAAATACAGAATGGGGGGTTTAAAAAATTACAAAATATCTCAAATGTCCCCATTTGGAACCCTTCAGCAGTCATAAAATAGGGAAATAGATATTTGATGCAAAAATAAAAAATAAATGAGGTAGATAAATGAATGCTTTCAACACCCATTACTTGCCTGTTCCAACTTCCTAGCCTTCACACAATATTCAAGAACAATTTTCACAATTACTTGGCAAACTGCACCAAGGACATTTTTGTACATGTTAGTTTGTGAACTGAGGGGCACCTGGGTGGCTCAGTCTATTCAGCACCCAATTCTTGGTTTTGGCTCAGGTCATGATCTCAGGGTTGTGAGATGGAGCCAGCACTTGTTTGGCTCTGCTGTCAGGGGGGTGGGAAGGTGGGAGTCTGCTTGAGATTCTCTTTTTCTCCCTCTGCCCTTCCCTCGCTGGTGTGCTTCTTCTCTTTTTCTCAAATAAATAAATGAGTCTTTTTTTTAAAGATTATTTATTTATGTATTCATGAGAAACACAGAGAGAGGCAGAGACACAGGCAGAGTGAGAAGCAGGCTCCCCATAGGGAGCCCAATGAGGGACTCTATCCCAGGACCCTGGGATCACAACCCGAGCCAAAGGCAGATGCTCAACCACTGACCCACCCAGGTGCTCCAAATAAATCTTTTTTTTTTTAAAGAAAGGTTTTTTTTTAATTTTATTTATTTATTTATGATAGTCACAGAGAGAGAGAGAGAGAGAGAGGCAAAGACACAGGCAGAGGGAGAAGCAGGCTCCATGCACCGGGAGCCCGATGTGGGATTCGATCCCGGGTCTTCAGGATCGCGCCCTGGGCCAAAGGCAGGCGCTAAACCCCTGCGCCACCCGGGGATCCCTAAATCTTTTTTTTTTTAAAATGAGTATGTCAACCTATAATAAACATGCCCTTCTATGAGTTTCTTCAAGAATAAAAACCCAGTTCTTCAACTGAGTAGGCACTGGTGAACTAAATTAAGTCACCTGGGAGTCCCTGCTCCCGTATTTCAGGAAGGAGACACCTGGAAAGCACAGGGAGTACACTGGCATTCTCAGGGCTCCAGCTGGCTCCAGCTGAACTGTATTTAAATAAGCAGCAACCCACATCGACTCCCTAAGGACTAAAATCAGTCACTTTGAGGGTGTCTCACCTAAGGTCCCAAGTTTGAAGGAATTTTATAATTCTACAACCTTATTTTTTTAGGTTTTTTTGGTAAAGTACATTTAGAAAAAAAGAAAGGATGGGTGCAGGGTTAGGGGGATCATACAAAAAACATCTCTAAACAGGTGCCAGATCTTGTTCATGTACCTGCACCCGGTCATCAGGGAAGTAGATAGTACCCTCTCCCACCTTAGGCTAACAGTTGTCTTTTCCTTTGTGGTTCAGTAAGTTCCAGAGTGAGATCTACTTTTAAAATGCAAACATAGGGGCTCTTGGGTGGCTCAGTCATTTAAGCACCAAACTCTTGGTCTCGGCTCTGGTCTTGATCACAGGGTCTTGAGGTCAGGTCCTGGAAAGGGCTCCATGCTGGGTGTGGAGTCTACTTAATAAAATTTTTTTAAAAAAATCTAAAAGTGCCAGGATGCCTGGGTGGCTCAGCAGTTGAGCCTCTGCCTTTGGCTCAGGGCGTGATCCCGGGGTCCCAGGATCGGCTCCCATATCGGGCTCCCTGCATGGAGTCTGCTTCTCCCTCTGCCTGTGTCTCTGCCTCTCTCTCTGTCTCTCATGAATAAATAAGTAAATAATTTGAAAAAAAATTCAAACGTGCCTGCTGGGGGTAAGCATCAGGTCCCTGGAATACCCAGAGTGAAAGCATTTAGCTTTTTCCCTGACAGGAAAGAAGAGGTGATTCAGGATACCCACAGCCTAGAGGAGCAGGACCGATGGGACAGGAGAGTAAATCCTGCCTGATGCACCCTGTTGTCTGTTACCCCAGAGTCTCTGATGGCCACGGGCACAGGTCCTCTCTATTACCAGAATCTCAGGGTAAAAACCTAGAGGGAAACTGCTGCCCCTAGCTTGAAGAAACTGAAGGAAGTCTCTTTCACCACCATGTGTGTTCAGCCAACCAGCTGTAGGGTCTCACCAGGCACTTCTGAGTGCTTAGAGAAGCACTGAAGTTCTTCTATTGACTGATGGATCCTCGCCTTCAAAAGGATTTGAGGCAATCCCCTTGAGAATAAGCAAGGGTGCAGAGAAAGGGATTACATCTGAGTCCTCAAGGAGATTATTGTGACATGTCCTGGCAAGGGGGTGGGGGCAGGGGATCCAGGGAGGAAGCCTTGGGACAGCTGTGATTAGGAGAATGGTTGGGGCATGACGAGTCCCAGGCAGAGTCAACTCCTTGGAAAAGAGCTGAGCTGGGACAGATTCGCATTCTCGGACTGGTCCACAGCCCCAGACACTTCTTCCCCTCCTGCCCTGATGCCCTTGTACTTCTCAGCCAAGCTTCCTGAGAGCTGGTTACCTGCACACACACCACCCCCCAGGACATGCCCTGCCCAAGGGTACCCAGCCCAGGGGGCCTGCACTCCATCACCTGTGCCCCGGCACAGGCTGTGTCTGTCCAAAAACTAGGGCACCTTGTCCTAATTTGCCCAAAGGACCTGTCTCCACACTCCCTTCTCTACACAAGCATGCTCTGCCATCTGCCTCTACCAATCCACTGACTTCGTCGGCAACTTCTCTTTTGCTGAATTCACGTGCTCATTCAGGCTTTATCTTGTTTCATCTCTCACTAGCATATCCCACTATCAACCACGTTCCCATCTGGAAATCTTCCTCCTTTGGCTTTTTTGGTAATCCTATCTTGGGTTTTCTTCTATCTGACCTGTCGCCGACCATTCAGAATGAAGTAACCTGGGGACTTGGCATACCTCACTGTTACCTGGGGTAGCTTCATCTAGCCCATGGCTCAGTTAACATCTGAGTCGCTGACTCCCAAACCTTCATCCCCAGGTGCACTCAGCCACCCAGTCCAGCTCCTACGGAACTCCACCTGGGTGTCCCATCCACACTTCAGGCACATCACATATAGAACAGAATGCATCACTTTTTTTCTTACAACATTCTCTTTCTAAGGTATTTCTTCTCTTGGAGGTGACATCACCACACATCTGAATATTCAGGCCAAAGACTCTCACTTTGAGGTCTTCCACTCCTTGACCCTGTACAGTTAATACACTCCCAGGCCCATTGGTCCACCCTGTTCACACTCCCCAAATTCACTTTATCCTTCCCGGCTGCACTGCCACAGCCTGATCTGAAGACCCATCATTTTTCATCTGAATTGCTAAACTGATTTCTTAACTGCCCTTCCTTCTCCTTCTAATTCATTTCCCACTCTGAATGGAGAGCTAACTTCCTAAAATACATGGCTCTCTAGTGCTTTCAGGATAAAATGCAAATTATTCAGACCTATATACATGGTGCCTGAAGCCAGAATGTCCAGTTCAAATCCCTGCCCTGCCATTTGGTCAGCCACGTAAACTTGGGAGAGGTACTTAACCTCTTGGTGCCTTAGTTTCCTCATGTGTAAAATGGGTATAATCATAATACCTCCATGGGGGGGGTGTTGTGAGGATTAAATGAGATAATACATACCAAGTGCTTAGAATATTACCCAGCATGTAGCATGTACTCAATAAGTAGCAGCTGTGATCTTTATAGCTACCTGCCCATGCTTCTCATTTCTCCCTCCCCTTCACTCACACACTCACCTCCATTCATACTGAACCACTTGGGGTTGACCCAAAGCTTCCCACTCCTAGGTCTTTATTCAATATTCTTCCTTTGCCTAAAATGCCAGATACATCTGTCTTCCTCCAATATGCGCCGCCCCAACCCCCTAGGGGCCTGGCCAGTTCTCCTTTGTCCTTCAGGATCCAAGGCACTGTCTTCTGAGAACTCTTCCAGGAAGCCTTCCCTGAGTTCCCAGTTTAGACATAATGCCTTCTGAGGTCCCATATAGCTAATTACAGGATGTTGTAGCATTTATTCTTTGAGGACAGAAATCATGAGTTATTCATCTTTGAATGTCAGGCACCTAGTAGATGCTCAGTAACCATTATGTCTAGCACTTACAGCAAACCTACTATGTCAGGCAATGCCGTTTTGCATATATATACTTTCATCCTCACAAAAACTGTATAAAATAGGTATTATTGTTTTTATCTCCATTTTGTAGGAAAGGAAACAGTCACATTTTGGTGGAATTGGGATTTGTACTGAGGCAGTTTAGCTCAAAAGTAGTGATCCAGCTAGTATCATGTTCTTTTTGGTAAACAATGAGTAGAAGAGTCAAGTAAATAAAGTGGGCTTGGAAGCCAATAGTGGCTGCCCAGCACAATGTGTGGCACATAATAGGTGCTCAATAAATACTAGTTGTCTGAATGAGTGAGGACAATGAACTGAAATCGAATGCGTAAGGGAGATGTCAGAAGATACCGGCAGTGCAATTATGGGGATCCAAGAAAGCCCCATTTATCCACATGTGCTCCTGTGGTATGAACAGCCTACCTGCCCTGGTCTTTCAATATTTTTATTAAAAGCACATATATGTCGTAAGAGGAATCCACAAATGGGCATTATGTATTAGAGCTGTTTGTTTGAAGGGGTTGTTGAGACAGGGCTTTGGGCCTGGGAATGGTGGACGAGAATCATCAGCACAGGCAGCAAGCACCATGCCAAGCCCTGGGGTAAGGCCAAGTGGTGGTTTCTTCTTCCTCCCAGGAAAAGGTGCTCATCTGGCAATTTTTGGAGAAAAGATACATCTATGGTGAACTTTATAAGAACCGTGTCAACATATCAACAAATGCTGAGCAATCAGATGCCTCCATCACTATTGATCAGCTGACCATGGATGACAATGGCACCTACGAGTGCTCAGTCTCACTGATGTCAGACATGATGGGCACCTCTCAGTCACGTGTCCGGCTTTTGGTCCTCGGTGAGTGTCTCCATCTCCTTCCTGGCGGGGAGAGGGTGCAGGGGGGGTACAGGGAGGAGAAGCGCCCTGTAAGGTAAGCGGTAAGGTAAAGCCGGGGCAGCAATGCCTGACCAGGAGCTCAAACTCTTCCCCTCATCCCGTCTGCCTGGGCAGGGGGCTGCTCCTCCCTTTTCAAGAAGACTGTTCTGAGCTGTCCACCCCTGGGAACCAGTTCCCAGGGCAGAGGAGGAGGCCGGTTTGGAGCGGCCCCGGGGGCAGCCTGGGAAGTTCTGCCCCCGTTCTGTCCAGTGCTCTTCTTCCCCATATCCCAGCTCTCTTCCTTTTCATAGCAAACTTATTAGGGAGAAGAAAAAGGGAAATGATAGATTCTAAAGAAGGACTCTCACCGTGCTTTCCTGTGGTGCCGGCTGAGAGCCAGATCGTGACTTTCCCGTCATAAATTCAGCTACTCAGTAGAAACCCTTCACACCACCATCTCTCTACCCCTGGGCCCCAACAACACACCACTGATCAGGCTCTACTGCCTTTGACAGATGTCCCAAGATGACACTCTTTTCCTACCAATATCTTATTATAGGAGCTTCTAGTTGGGGAAGAATCTGAACAATCATCTCCCTGAGTATCTTCATTTTGTAGATGAAGCCCAGGGAAAGTAGGCACCTGACTCAGAGTCAGTAACTGGAACATTTTAATGAATGCCTCCTCTATGTCCAATATAGGAGTGGCCTCCACCCCAGGAAGTAGCAATGCTTTTATGCCAAAATGATGGATCATTTTTCCTTTATTTTTTTCCATTTATACTACTTAGTGGGATTTTATTTTTAATTGCGGAAAGTGGCCACCTGGCTTTCTGAAGCATTGTATCAGTCAAACAATAGAGCCCTGAATACAGAATAATTGTCTCCTTCTTCCATCCTAAAACCAGCATGGCAGCCACTGGTAATATTCTTTCATGCTTTTCTCCATGTCCTTTCCAAACAGAGATTGTATTATAAAGATCATTTTGGGGGGTAATGTTTCATGCGTATTTCTCGAGATCAATATCTATGGATCTACCTATTAGCAGCGTGTTCCATCATGCGGATATACTATGATTCAATCAAGTGTTCCATACTGATGGATAGTCTCAGGCTGTTTCCATTTTTTTGTATGAACAATACTGACAGATAGATGATAGATAGATAGATAGATAGATAGATAGATAGATAGACAGATATTCTTCCACTCTGTTTTTATTCCTTTTTAAAAAAGATTTTATTTATTAATGAGAGACACAGAGAGAGAGAGAGAGGCAGAGACATAGGCAGAGGGAGAAGCAGGCTCCATGCAGGGAGCCCGACGTGGGACTCGATCCCAGGACACCGGGATCACGACCTGGGCCAGAGACAGATGTTCAACCACTGAGACAGCCAGGGGCCCCTGTTGTTTTTATTTCTATTGGCTAGATTCTCAAAAGTAGGATTTCTAGGTCAAAGACTATGCCTTCATTAACTATTAATCCATCCCAGCAAACTACTTTCCTCAAAGCAACTTACATTGCTATGGCATTTTATGAGCATGCCTGCTTTCCCATATCCTTACCAGTACTGAATCTTATCAATCTTTCTAATTTTTGTAAATTTTGTTAATTTGGTAGGTGAAAAAAAATTCAGTTCAGTCTAAACGAAAATGTTAATCTAGCCACTAATATGCTTCACTACCCCTTATTTGGACCCAACTTCCTGAAGCTTGGGGACCAGCAGTGGGCCTGTTTCCTCACCTTCCCTCCTTCATCTGATTCTTCCCACCCCTGGGAGATGATGACGTGGCTCCTTGGAGGTCATGGCCAAGGGAGGAAAGGTTAAAGGGAGGAAAGGGAAAGGCCTGCTCACCTGGCTAGGCCACGAGTGTCTCTCTTGGCTCTTACATAATCCCACTATAGGTTTTTTTAGGGGGTGCACTGGCAGTTTCTTCCACCTGACACAGGTAGCATGTGTGCCCCCCATCCTTTTTCTACCCAGCCCCTGCTTTTGGCACTCACTGCGGCCAGTCCACTATGGGCTCTCCTGTGGCCCAGGGAGCAGAGTCCCTTCAGAATGATGTGAATCAGCACACCACCCCCCACCTGCCACACCCCTACTTACCCTGCCATTGAAGCTTGCTCCGGCCAGCTTTTCTTGGCAACATGCAGGCATTACAGTCCTCAGGCGGGTCCCCAAAACCCAGAGGATCTATATAGCCCTCCCATCATCACACTGCAGGATCAGCACTTCAGCAACTTACAGGTTCCTCTCTCTCTGAGCCTCAGCCAGGGAATGAGGGATGCCATCTCCCGACAGTAGGGAACCCTAATCTCCATGTTGGATTTTTTTGGTGCCTCCCTGGCTTGACCTGAGATGGGGGAAATCCTTTCTTCCCTTCCCACAAGAGAGGAGAGTAAATGCTCATGGATCCCTATTCCTAAGTATCCTCTACAAAGAAATCTCCTCTAGGCTTCTCTTGCTTGGGTGGGAGGAAGGTAACTGATAACCTAAGGATTTGCTCTTGGAAAGGCTGCTGGGATGTTCCTCATGCTTCTCCTTAATATTGAGGATACTTACCACCCTGGAGGTTGTAGTAAATTCTGAGCCACAGGAGAAGTCCCAATCTGTATCTTGCTAATGTTTTCTATCATGCATTTGAAGTCTCTTGTCATGTACCATCACTGCTGGGAATATAAAAATGAACTTAATATTCTTTTCTTATGTCATTAGGTCTTATTTTTTACATTTAGATCTTTATTTTACTTGAAATTTATTTTTGTAAATAGGATACTAGGAGTCTAACTTTGTTTTCTTTCAAATGGGTAACCAATTACATCAGCATCATTTATTGTACCAAAGAAATAATTATTATCCCACTGGAATGCCAGCTTTGTCACATATTAAGTTCTTACATAGACATGGCTGATTTTTCATTCCTTTTTTGTTCATTTTCCTTTTGATTATTCCTATGCTGTTACATGGTTTTGATTACAGCATGCTTATAGTGTTGATGTATATATATATAATTTTTGTGGGTTTTTTTTTTAGTTGGAGCTATCAGTGCTTGAATAGTTGGCTTTTAATATCTGATGCTGTGTGATATCTTCTCTTACTAAACTTCTCCAAAAAAAATGTTGTCAATTTTTTACACATTTTTCTTCCACGTTAATTTTTTAAACCACTTTGCTTCGTTAAAAATAGAAGTTGATTGGAATTATGGTCAACTTACACATTAATATGCAAAGGAATTACAAGTTAAAAATAGCAAGTCCTCTCATCTAAGAAGATGTATTTCAGGTTTAATGACCTTCAATAACATGGGATCTCTAACAGAATTCCAGGCCTCCTGTGGACAGATGCAGAGCCTTTTTTGTCTGTAGGAGAAAGGCATGGGACTCCTTTCACAACCCTGTTCCCATCCTATCTAGTAAAATTTCCCATTCTATGTGTCCTCTTGCTCTAAAAACAGAGGGGATTTAACTTAGAGAGAAACTACCATCAACTTGCAATGACCTTGGTGTGTGTGCAAGTTGCCACAAATTCATGGTTATAATACCTCCCATTTACTGAGCACCAGGTATGTGCCAGGCCTCTAAGAGCTTTACAGATATGGCCTCTTTTAATCTTTGCAATCCATCTGTGAAAGTGGGAATTAACACTTTTGTTTAATAGAAGAGAACAGTGAGGCTCGAGACACCTGTAGGAAGTGTCCAAGCTTCCATCGAAACAGGATGGCCCAAAAGCAAAGCCCTTCACTGCTCCACGGTGTAAATCTGCCACTCCCAGCCAGTAATCAATCCAGTTCAGGATGGTTACCAAATTCTTCTATATTTACCTACCTTTCAAAGTAAGGTAACAGCTGTCAGTTGATAGTAGACACAAGCTTGCCAGTGATGTTTTAGCTCGCCTTGGCAGTAACTTGCATCCTGCCTTTCCTGGATCCACGCCAACAAGAGAAGGCTAGAGGGGCAGAGCCGTGCCAGCCCTGGATGTGCCACTTGCCTGCCCTTGTCCACAGCACACCTGCATCTTGAACACATCACTCGGTGGTAACTGAGGTTCTGTACCTGCTCTTCCAGGGGGAAGGCTTTCGCTTAGGGTCTAAGAGATGGAAGCTCCACTGCCCTGTGAGTGCATGGGCAGTTGTTTCTGGGTTTTCACGGGATGCTCTTGATGGTCTTAGATCTAGGAACATTCACACCTCCTCTCATCTCATGGACGAGGCTGTCACCATCACACATTATCATCTTCAAGCATCTTTGTAGCTGTGTTTTAGTTGCTCCAGATCTAGTCGGGGTGCCATGCTGTGTTTGTCTCTCTGGGTCCATCAGAGCAAGAGGCCTGCTCTCCGGAGGGCTCCTCGTGTGCAGATCTGCAGCACAGAGAAGGCTGTGGGTTGTTAAAATGGAGCTCTTCTCGCTCTCCTCCTTCTGCCACCTTGGTCCACACACAACAAAGAACTGTTTGGTGATGCTGCCCTGCCTCTTAAGAAATACTATTAGAAAAGAGAGAGAGAGAGAAAGAGAGAGAGAGAGAGAGAGAAACTAAAAAAGGAAAAACATTCACTTGTGTCACTAGGTTTTCTATTTGTCGGTGCTTCCTTCCAGCTCCTGCCCAAGTGCTTGTTTCTGTCCATAACTGAATCTGTCGCCTAAGGAGTTGGGACTTTGCCCCTTTCGTGCCTCATCAGGTAGCTCCTTCTGGTCTCTCCGCACTTACCATCGCCCCTCGGGGGAGGGGGTGCAGCATCCCCGGTCCCTAACCGAACAGTCAACCTGTTGCAATTAAAGCCCTTATAAATAATGTCCTAACAAATTGTTCTGTGTACATAGCTCTTCATTTCTATTTGCCTTAGCTCCTCGGGGAGATACTACAAGCCAAAAAAAAAAAAAAAATGCACGTTTGTATCTAGTTTCTGTTCTGCACTTCTTTCTCCTGTCCCCTTGCCCCGCATGGCCCCTGGCTGAACCCCTCCCTTCTCTGCACCTGGTCCTTTTCTGGCTAATTCGGTCTCCTTTTGGCTTCCCTGAAGCAGCTTCTGTTTTCGTCCGGCGACGAGCTGCTTCGGGAAAGCCAGCAGGACCCGCTTACCCGTGACTGTCCAGTTCCTCCCGCCCCTCCAGGGCCAGCTTCATCTTAAGACAGGAGCTCTCCAGCAGGGGGGCGAAGGATACACGTTCGATGGGAGATTATGGATCTCAGTGTTTTGCTTTGGAAGGAGGCAGAGAGAAAGGAAAGTGAGACAGACGTCATTTTGTACTCCAAGTTAAGAAATCCGGTAAAAAAAATCTTTAAAAGAAAGTTTGCTTTGCAAATGGCTTTGCTACTGGGCTATTTTTAGGTAGAAGGGCTTTAATTATACGGGGCCGCCCAGCGGGCGGGGCGAGGGCGCAGAGAGCTTCGGGACCGGTCCCCGCGGGGAAGCCACCTGGCGCGGCGGCGGGCGCGGGCGCGGGCGCGGGCGCGGGCGCGGGCGCGGGGGCGGGCGCGGGGGCGGGCGCGGGCGCGGGCGGCTCCGCGGCCTCTGGCGCCCCTGGCGGCTGCCGCGGGAGGCGCAGCTTCGGAGCGGCCGGGCCCGCCGCGGAGATCTCCCGGGAGCAGCCGCTCTCCGTCCGCGAGCTCCAGGTCGCAAGGGCAGATCGGAGCCCCGCAGGCCTCGCAGCTCCGCAGGAGGGGCTGTCTGCCTGGAGCTGACTCGAGGTCCTCGCTGGCTTTCATGGTGGGGGGCCGGGGAGGGAGCCCTTAGAGAGGCTGGGGACAGAGTGACGGCCGGTGCCTAGGTGGGCTGGGGGGAGGACAGCCAGGGCGCTGAGGTTAGGGCCCCCGGTGTCAGGGTGGGGGTGGGGGGCCCTGACGTGCTCCCTCATAAGGCTGGCCTCCTGGGGGTGCTTGGTCTCTTGTCTCTACTGCTGCCTGCAGAGTGAATTAAGGATTCGCCTTAATAATTTCCCCTAGCTAGCCTCCGGATGTGTCCGGATAGGCTTCTCTAGGGGCTCCTTTTTTTTTTTTTTTAGAGATTTATTTTTATTTATTTATGATAGACATGGAGAGAGAGAGAGAGAGAGAGAGAGAGAGGCAGAGACACAGGCAGAGGGAGAAGCAGGCTCCACGCTGGGAGCCCGACGTGGGATTCGATCCCGGGTCTCCAGGATCGCGCCCTGGGCCAAAGGCAGGAGCTAAACCGCTGAGCCACCCAGGGATCCCCTCTAGAGGCTCCTTCGCCTTGGTCTGCTCTCTTCCCTTTTTGTCTTGGATCCCAGAAAGCTGGTCCCAGAAAGGCCTGACTACAGTCATGCACACCCTGAGTATGATGCTGGTTGCAGTGTTGTGTCCCAGGGGGTGTTGTACTTTAGGCCGACTCTCTCATTGTGAAATGAAAGCCCCGCTCCTCCAAAGGCAGAGCTGAGAAATAGGGTGACTGCTTTTGGTGAGTGGAGAGGGATGTTCCTGTACGCCGGAGCAGTCAGGAGGTAAAGCGTGGCCTGCCAACCCTGACCTAGTGCCAGACCCAGGGCAGGTAGCAGGGCTCACCTTCTCCTGTTCCTGCTGGGCCAGAACCCAGTGAAGGCCGCAGTCCCCTCCTGCCCAGGCTGCTTGTCCCTGGGGCCTGGACCAGGATGTAGGAAGGCAGTTCTTGAACTTCCCACCTCTTAGGTTTAGGGGAGTCCAACTGGGACAGGCTTAGGGGAGTGCCTGTTACTTGCTCCATGCTTGTCCCACACCTGGTGGGCCCTCACTGGAGCAGCAGAAGATGTGGAGCACACCCACCCACAAGTGCCTTGGCCTTTCAGAGCAAAGCTAGAACTGGCAGCTGGGTCAGAGGGGAGGGGTGCATCATCCTGCATAGCTTCTCCCAGCTACTCTTCATGCTCAGTGAGCATGCGTCAGTGCAGTCTGGACCGTACAATGGGTGGCACTATTTACTGGAGAAGCAGACTATCCATGGGTCTAAAGAAGGAGTTGGAGGGGACAGGCCTGCCAAGGCATTCAGTGGTAGCCCTCTGTGCTGCGTATTCTCCCCTTCTCGAGCCCCAGGGATACTACCTGAAGTCTCAAGCATAGCTGATGTTTCTTCCTGTCTCAGGGCCTTTGCACATGCTTTGCACACTCTGTGTGGAGTGCCCTCACCTGTCTCTGACCACCACCGCCTCCATTGGCTTTGTTTACTCTCACCCTCCTTCAGGTCACGGCCCAGTCTGTGACCTTGCTTGTGCCATCCCTGTCCTGGCAGCCTGGCCTCCTGCCTGCCTGTTATTGTCTAATTACTTGTCTTTTGCCCCACTGGACTCCTTGAACACAGGAACTCACTATGTCATCCCAGTGGCCCGCAGTTTGAGTTGAAGGGCTTCTGAGACAGGGCTTTCCCCTAACCTGGGGGCAGGCAAAGTTGGCCAAATCCAGCCTAGGCCTGTTCATACATGGCCTGCAAGCTTAGAATGGTTTTTACATTTAGAAAGGATTATTTAAAAAGTAGAAGCAGTGACAGAGACCATAGCATGGCCACAAAATCTAAAATATTACCTTTGACCCTTTACAGAAAACCTATTGTCCCCTGCTCTTAGAGATGGGACACTGAGAGACTGCAGGATTGATTTGAAAGGGTCAACACCAGAGGGAGTTGCTATGGCTGCTGGAGAGAGTACTGGATGTGGAGTCAGAAGACCTGGTTCTAGTCCCATGCAGGTCTTGCCTAGTCTCCTCTCTGGGCCTCAGTCTCCCCACCTTTATAATGGTGGTGACTCTACTGTTGCACTCAGGACACTTCCTGACGTCTGTGCGTGCTGCCCACTGATGGTGACAGGCCACAGAGGAGATATTTGGGGTGGGTTGACCTTATGGCACTTTCTCTCCCCAGGAGGCTATGAATTTCTCTGCCCTAGAACAAGCAAAGTGGTACATGTGTGAGTGAGGTGGAAGGTGTCTGTCCCCAGGCCCCTCCTGGGTCATGCCTTCACTTTGGTCTTCCCACTCTGCAGTGCCGCCCTCCACGCCCGACTGCGGCATCGAGGGAGAGACCGTGATCGGGAACAATATCCAGCTGACCTGCCAGTCGAAGGAGGGCTCTCCGGCTCCTCAATACAGCTGGAAGAGCTATGACATCCTGAACAAGGAGCGGCCAGCCGCACCAGGTAACAGGGTCAGCGGGAAGACGGGCCCCCGCCCCAAAATGCAGATGACTGGCTAGGGTTGCCCGGGGAGATCCCAGCCTGGCCAATCCGGCCTCCGTGCAGGGCTGCTGGGCTGCTGGGCTGCAGGGCTGCAGGGCTGCAGGGCTGCTCTTTCCCTCCACCCTGCAGTCAGCCTGTGATATCTTGCAGTTTCTCTAAGTTTTCTCATGATAATACCCATCTCACAGGTTGTTGTGGGAAATAAAAGTGAATCATGTAAAGCACTCAGTGGAAGCACATAATAAATGTTCATTTGTTAACTTTGTTCCCTGCAACTCAATTCTCTCAAATGAGCATGTATGGATCACACTCCGTGCAAAAGCACTGCGTGGGATTTAATTTTGACTATGATCGTGTCCTAGTCTAGCACTATGGCTGTACTCACAGGCAGGCATTCCCATCCTCATTCCCTATCTGGGCTTCACTGAACCTCACCTTCCCAAACATGCCCTCCATTTCTTCTTCTTCTTCTTCTTCTTTTTTTAAGATTTTATTTATTTATTCATGAGAGACACAGAGAGAGAGAGAGGCAGAGACACAGGCAGAGGGAGAAGCAGGCTCCAAGCAGGGAGCCTGATGTGAGACTCGACCCCAGTCCTCAGGTGCTAAACCACTGAGCCACCCAGGGATCCCATGCCCCCCATTTCGGGCCACACCCAACTCTCAGGAGACATGAGGTTCAGCTGTGGTTGCCTGGACACCTGCTTTGTACTAGGCAGCTTGGTATTTGACCTTTGATCAGGAAACAAACTGAAAAAAAAAAAAAAACCAACAACCAAAGAACCCTATATAAATATTTTACTGTCATATTACCTTGGCACCAACTGCTGTGGGAATACCTCGCTGGCATTTTTGGGCTCCAGGGCCCCCTGGCACACCCAGTGCTCCTGGAGATAAAAAAAAAAAAACAAAGTCTGAAAGATGCCAGTTGGTTTAACTTCTGGGATATCTTTCCGCTCAGTGTGGGCAGTAAAAAGTGAAGCAGTGGTTGGAGACATGTGAGAAATGGGATGGGGCAGGAGAAGAGCCCTCCGGGGCCTGCTGAGTCCCACCTGGTGAATGAACATTTTGAGGCTTTGGTCAAACGAGGATGAGCTTTTTCATTCTGTCCTTCACTCACTTGGGGAACAAAATAAGAACTTTTAAAAAGTAATAATAATAATAAAAATAGAACCCACTCAATCTAATGTAAATTAGAAAGTATAATGTGGATTTCAACAAGCTTCCAGTTTTGTTTCCAAATTTCTGGCTGGCAAATTTTTATCGAGTGTGTCTGGAATTTCTGTTGAAACCACCTGGCAGCCCTCCTCTGGGTCTATGGCCTGCCTCTCTGACCCATGTGTGACCCAGTGACTCCAGCAATGGACACCAAGGTCTGCCATGGACAATGTTGGCCTGCACTTCCTTGCAGCAAAGTGTGTATAGGGAGACCCAGAGCTGAAGGTTACATGATGAATGCTATAATAGTTTTATATCCAATGGTGTTGGAAGCCAGAGGATGCACAAGGAGATAAAAGAAGGTTTCTGCAAAGAGGGGGCACTTGGGGTGGCAATGTAGCATGGTGGCCAAGAGCATGGTGTGAGCTTGAATCATGGCTCTGCCACTTGTTAGCTATGGGACCATGGTCACATGGTGATTGACTTGGCCTCTTTGTGCTTTAGTTTTTACATCGGTAAAATGAGCATAAAACTAGTACTTACTTCCTAGAGTTCCTGTGAAGATTAAATAAAAGTACATGTAAAGCACGGAGACCGTGCCTGGTAAGAACTCCTTAATGCTGTGTGTTATGTGAGCTAGATCCTTAAGGATGAGTGGGCGAGGTGTGGGAAATATCCCGGGAGCAGTGAGTTTCCATGCAGCCAAGGGTAGGGGGCATGCGCTGCAGGAAGGAGGGATCACAGAGAGCCTGTGCATTGGGCTGGGGAGGCCAGCCTTTGCCCTGGAGGTCACCTTCTGAGGAGCATCATCACAGATACTACGCTACTCATAGCTCTCCTGCCTCCAGCTGGAAGGTGCTAGAAGCCAAAACTTCGTCTTTCTATGATTCAAAAGAGGAGAAACCCAAGGACTTGAAAGAAGGTCAAAGGGAGACTCACATACTTACTTTGGAAAAGCTTCATCCTGTTTCAAGTTAAGGTTTGCTCAGAATCAGAATCCAGATCTGGGAGTGCCAGCCAAGCTTGCACCCGGTGTTGGCGTACAGGTGGGGTCATTCAGAGCCTTTGGTCTCCACTCGCCTCACGAGCACCAGAGTCTATCCTGTCTTCTTCAGTTGGACCAAACCCAGTTTTAATTCTTAAAACATGTTAGTCCACAGTGGACAACTTGGAGAGTAGGGTTCCTCCACACTCCTACATCTGAAGACAGCAGAGATTGCTTCCTTTCACTTAGTAATCAGTGGAAGCAAGCCAGCAGTGAAAAGAACAGGGAATCTGGAATCAGTAAATAAGAATTTCAGTCCTGGTGTGTCCGCTTTGTAGCTGTAAGTCACTCACAGCCTCTTTGACCCTTAGTATCATCATCTGAAAACCTGGGATGATCATTATACAACCTTCCCTGAATGCTGTGAAGAGGATAAGAGGAGATCCCATGTATGATAGTTCTGAACATCCTTTGTCGGCCAGCTGAGCTTCATGTACTGGAAGGGCAGGAATTTGGGTCTCAAAGAAGGAAGGAGGGGTAATTCCGGGGCTAGAGCACTTTAGAAGAGGAGATTCTCGAAGGGTTGAAAGAGTGGGCAGGGGCCCTGCAGCCAGGGAGGGTCCTGAGGATCCTGGGTGAGAGGTGGCAGCCTGAGCTTATTGACAAGCCATAGGGTCAGGGTTGTGGGGTGGAAAATGGCCAGGGAAATGAAAGTTAAATCTTGCCAATTTAACATCAGTGCCTCTGGGAGACCAGGGTTTCTCCGTGGGGAAATCTCGCCCCAGCTGTCGCCCTGGAAGTGCTGGGAAGGGCTGACTGTCCTGTGTGTTCCTCTTCTGGACCACAAGGTGTCGCCACCACAGCAAAAACATTAGCTTTAGCCAGATTTCAAAAACTGTATTAGGTCCCTTTTAAGAGGACAAGCAGCTTGGGAGCCCCAGCTCAGAATCAGAGCAGATCTTGTGGCACTAGATATACACTGGTTAATTCCAGAGCAGCTTCTTTTTTTTTTAAAGATTTTATTTATTTATTCATGAGAGACACAGAGTCATCGGCAGAGGGAGAAGCAGGCTCCACACTGGGAGCCTGATGCAGGACTTGATTCCAGGACCCCAGGATCACAACATAAGCCAAAGACAGACACCAACCACTTAGCCACCCAGGTGCCCCTCCAGAGCAGCTTCTAATGACTGTCATTTCCTTTGTGCAACAAGCCCCAGAGCCCAAAGCTGGGCTCTGATAACCAGCACGGTCCTGGAGGCAGTCTGAAGTCCTGTCTGATGTGTCTGCTCTGTGTCTTACACATAGACTGAATCTCACACTCTAAAGCAGGGGGAATCTGATAAGGGTTATAGACCTTGTAAGTATTCACAGGGTCATAGAACATTTCCCAAAGTGTATTCCTTCAAGATGCCTCTTTTTTTTTTTTTTTTTTTAAGATTTTATTTATTTACGAGAGAGAGCGTGCGCAAGCAGGTTGGGGCAGTTTGAAAGAAAGGGAGAGAGAATCCCAAGCAGACCCTGTGCTGAGCATGGAGCCCAGGAAGGGCTCGATCTCACAACCTTGAGATCATGATCTGAGCCAAATATCAAGAGTCAGACACTCAACTGACTGAGCAGCCCAGGAGCCCCAAGATGCCTCTAAAAATAAAAGAATCCAATTAGTTTACAAAATAAGACCATTAGGGAGGAGGCGTTGTGATGGCAGAGGAGTAGGGGACCCTCAGTTGGTCTCGTTCCTCGAATACAACTAGACAGTTACTGAATCATTCTGAACAGCCAAGAAATCAATCAGAGGTTCTGAGAAAACGAATACCGCAAGTGGACAAGCTGAAAAGTGAGCACCTTTTGGGAGGTGGGAGGTGCAGAGGCCGGACCCCAGTGTGACACGGCTGAATGTTGGTGGCGTAGAGGGTGCCTGCTGGAGGAGCACCCCCCGCCCCCTTGCCAGGCGCTGCGGCAGCGAGCGCAGACCTTCCGGAGCCGCAGGTGGCAGAGCAGGGCAGAAATCCAGGTGTGACACTGTGATCTGAGGGTCCCCTGGGTCACAGGAACAACAGATTGCGCCTAAGTGGTGCACTGTCCCCAGGCATAGGGACGTGGGACCCGGCTGAGAACAGCAAGTCTAGGTGCTGGCCTTCTGCCTAGATGGCCATAAACTGCGTGGTTGTGTGACGCTTTCCGGGGCCGGGGCCGGGTCCAGCAAAAGGCAGAAGCCTGGTGAGACCCTCCCCAGGAGGAGTAGTGCAGGTCTGTGCTGCTGGAGTCCCTAAAATCTGGAGGAGTTCTGAAACTCAGTCATGCACCTGAGACAAAAAAAGCTTGGACGCAAGCAGGGTGAACGCAGAGTTCTGATGGAAATCAGGGCGACAAGAGTGATTGATTCTGCGAGGGCTCACTGAAGAGTGGGGAGCCCAATTTTCAACTCTGGGCCTAGAGAGGGCGCAGGGGCTGCCACTTTCCCCCAGCCCAACAGTGTTGAAAGCCTTAGGGGAGCAAAAACAGTGCCACCTAGTGGAGCCCAGAGCCACTTACACCAAGCCCTACTTCCCTGCGCCCTGGAGGCCCATTTTCACTAGGGCAAGTTCACCTGAGAATCAGCACAACCGCCCCTCCTCCAGAAGACCACACAAACCCGAGTTTACTGATCATAGAGAGCTGCAAACCTTCAGCTCTGGGGGAAAATAGTATCTAGCATCTTTTGTACTTTTATTCTTTAGTTTATTATTTTTTTATTTTAAAATTTTTTATATATACTTTATATATTATTTTTTGTTTCCTTTTATTTTATTCATATATTTTTTCTTTCTTATTTTGG